AGCATAATTAGTTAATTTTAAGCTTTTTACTGATATCTGAAGTACTAATCATCACATTTCAATGAGACTTGAGACATTTTTCTAGGACTATGCAGAGACCTGATTAATTTTTGGATAAATAATTGTGCCTATTAATTACTAATTTGCATAATTAGTTAATTTTTTGCTGTTCTATGGCTGTTGCACTGATGTCTAAAAACCACTCATTGGATTTCAATGAAACTTTTAAAGAGTACCCATCACATTTCAATGAACCTCAGACCATGCACCATATTAGTTTTTGGTAAATATTTATGTTTCTTAATCACCTAATTAACATAATTAATACTGATATCTCAAGTATTGATCATCGCATTTGAATAAAACTTGGTACATAAATGCTCTAGGACAATAGACAGCCTGATTAATTTTAGGTTAAAATCTGTTCATATTAATTCTCTAATTAGCATAATAATTAATAATTATTATATAAATATAATTATTTTTTTGGTTCTAATCACATTTCAATGAAACTTGGTACATTGTGCAGACCTTTAGTTTTACACTTAAATCTGTTCATATTAGTTACCTTATTTGCATAATTAGTTTTCAGCTATTCCATCAATATCTCAAGTATAAGTAATTTTGAATTAATTTTTAATGTGTCTCCAAAACTCTCAGCACACGGGAGTTCTTTCTAAGCTTTCTTTGATTAGCACTGTAGTAGGCCTGTGCTTGCTGCAACAGTATCAGTTAATGTTTGTGTACAATTAATTAATTTTGTGTCTTTCAATAAATTGCCACGACTGTGAATTTCATCTCTATCATTAAGGGGAATACATTGAATAATTACCTGTGAATGTGGACGATCAGCCGACAATTTATTTAAGCAATAGACTGCTGAGTTGCATATTGTTCATATCAAGTTTTAATTTCTATGACTTCACCTACTTCATATATCTATCTAATTTGACCTGAGTTGATGTTCTATTGCAACGTTCTTTGTCCAGCATGCCTCGTAATGCTTCAATCTTGGATTCCATTAATTTCCTACTCGTGTCCATCTCATCAATATTACTCTTCAACTCATTAACTTTGTCAATGTTCAAATGTAGTTTCATTCTAGTTGAAGATATGGCATTTGTTAATTCTGCTTTCATATAACAAATTTGTTTTGCCAGTTCTTGATTTTGGTTGGTAAGAATACA